GCTCCTGAACCTGGCAGACACTGGCGCACACATGCCTTCAGAGGACACTGATAAAGAAAGCAGTCTTTCTCTGGCCTTTCTCAGCTAAATTTAAATATAAAGCTGAGCTAGAACTGAGGCTGCGATGCCGTCCCACCCCTGCAGCCGCATCCTTCCCTGTTGGGTGCCTAAGGACAACTGGTTCAGCTCTTGCCCTCTCCTCTAGGCATCCCCTCCTTGCTGTGGCCTCCTGACACCCCTGGGCTCTTGTGCTCTTGGGCTGCAGATACCACTGCCTACTACCCTCCCTCTCACGTCTGCCTTCTCTAAGGGCCCAGGAAACCGTGGCCGGTTCCTCTTTAATAGCACGTAGCCCAGGGCCTGAGAAAGTTGTGATCGCTCTTGCCCTCTTCAAGACTCAAGTAGTTTACACGTAAAATCTGCCTACCTCACGGGTAAGCTGACTGAATGAGGTGAGGCCTAATGAGTGGGGGCCTTTCTACATGTTAGCCCCTCTGATCAGGATGCACTATGCCAGAGTCCCTGGGATTGACCCCACGATGGGTTAGAATAAAGCTGCTCTCCTGTCCAAAGTTATTGATTATGAGGCAGAAAATGCAATTAACCTTGAATAAGTTTAGGTCACTCGCCCACACTTGCTTACTGCTTGCTGCCTCAGTCTCTTCCCTGAAGAATAGAGAACCAGAGCCTGGAGCTCCAGGGAGGAGCAAGAGTATGAATTCTCCCAACCTGAGAGTTGCAGAATGATTCTAAGGAGTTCATCCATCATTCCGCACACCATACAGAGAGAGTAAACGGGTTGCCTGTATATGCACTATTATTTTCAAATACTACTAGGTACTATTTTCAAATAGGTACAAAATACAAATTGATTTGTATCAGTAAGTTATGTTGACCCAGTAATATCTTTGGCAAGAGAATAACCTCAGAGGCTTAGCTGGATTTGGGTGCTCTGCCGCAGCTCACTTGTCCTGAAGATAAACATCCTCAGGCTTGGAGCCCTGACTTTGTGATAAACAGTAGTCACCTGTCAATGCAAGTGCTTGTTTCCCCAGCGTAATCAATGGCACAACATTCAGCACACAACACACAGTTCAGCTTGTGGTGTCAGAGCAACTGTATGCAAAGGGAAGAGAAGACCATACTCACTGGATTTTGCATCCCACCAAAAGAGAAGACTCGGAGACCACAGAATATTCCCGAAAGCCCCAGATGTAGTACAGGGAGACCACAGAGGGAGGATCCTAGGACACAGCTGGCTGGCATCTGAAAGTACAAGGCCAGGAAGTTTAAAATTCCTATACTTACCCCTGCCAATGGCTTCTCGTAGGGAGGCCACCATGGTGGTTCAGCTGACTGTGACTCCCTGCCCCAAGGCTGCCTGAGGCCACTTCGCCAGCCCCTGGCGTGAGTGCTCCAAGAGAGGGGCGGGTTGCAACCCTCTGTGAAAGGTGCCCCGGCAGTGCTCTGAAGTGATGCTGCCTTGTGTTTCTGCCAGGAATTTAAACTTGATGGAGGGGCGCCTGGGTGGCTCAGATGGTTAAGTGTCTGCCTTCGGCTCAGGTCATGATCCTGGGGTCCCGGGATTGAGTCCTGCATCGGGCTCCCTGCTCCGTGGGGAGCCTGCTTCTCCCTCTGCCTCTCCCCCTGCTCATGCTCGCTCGCTCTCTCTCTCTCTCTGTATCTCTGTCAAATGAATAAATTTTTTTAAAAATCTTTAAAAAAAATAAATAAACTTGATGGACTTCTGCCATAAGGAGGGACTCTGTTCCTGCCTCTCTCCCTGTTCCCCTCACCTCCCACCCTCCAGCCTCAGAGAAACAGTAAAGGAAGATGCTTCTCTTCATTAGTCTTCATAAGAGCCTTGTAGCTCAAAACCATGCATCTACCACCGGCAAATGGAACCTGAGGGAACTATGACTTCGTGGTGGGGAGCAGGAGTTTCATCAGATGCTAAAAAGTAGCAAGAAAAAAGATCCTGTTCTATTGATATAAGGGGAGTATAATGGGATTTTTTTTTTTTTTTTTGGTAACTATCTGAAGAGAAAAAGCCATGTTTGTTTTTTCTTCCTGTGAAGTGGGAGAACTCTGAGTTTAGATGTACTGAATATAAAGTTCTCGCCAACTAAGGTCCCTACGAATGTATCCGAGTTGCCCGCTCCTGCAAATGAGTTATTTTTATGGCAGACATGATTCTCATTAAAAGTTCTTGTGATTTCGGGGCGCCTGGGTGGCTCAGTCGTTGAGCGTCTGCCTTCGGCTCAGGTCTTGGTCCCAGAGTCCTGGGATCGAGCCCCGCATCGGGCTCCCTGCTCTGTGGGAAGCCTGCTTCTCCCTCTCCCACTCCCCCTGCTTGTGTTCCCTCTCTCGCTGTCTCTCTCTGTCAAAATAAAATCTTTAAAAAAAAAAAAAAGTTCTTGTGATTTCTATCACACGAGGCACATTTTCCCCATGGCTACCCCAGGCTCCTGCTAATATGGTTGTTGTAGGGACGGAAGTGAACTACGTCAGCCATTAAAACGCACCCTAACTGATCACCATGAAGTAGCCACCTCGATGCAAAGTAAAATTTTCAGAGAAAAATATTCACAATATGCAACTGCTTCTTAATATTCCATTCCAGTTGCTCTGGGAGAGAGAATAGTACAGGACATGCCGCTTGCGATGGAGTGAAACATTTCCTCTGCTCCCAGAAGAACCTTAAAAAAGAGTTTAAGCTCTTCCCACACTCTGGGGTATTGGTGAGGAAAGAGTTAGCAGTCCCTGCCCAAAAAGACAGTTGTTGATGGAGTCTTTCGCAAAACCTGGTTTATAACCCACTGCCCAGAAGTCCCAGCATGAGTCGTAACAAGAGTAGCTCTTTCTGGTGGGAGATCAAAGCGTGTAAGAATTGGGGCAGCTGCTTGGGATTGTGTTAAGAGGGAGTGTGGGGCCAGCAGAAGAGGAAGGGAGGTGCCCAATGGCGCTGCCTTCCTTACTTGAGCTGTCTACTCACTCATCCTTCCAATCCTGCAAGGATAAGCTTCTTAAGATATTTGCTGAGAGATTGGATATCCTGCCCTAGTTCTCCTTGGAAAGTACAGGGTGAGCTGGCAGAAGGGGAAGAGGTGAGGTGTAAACCTTTCGTGGAGGTCTGAGAGGTCTGCCCATTCTTGGAGCAGTACCAGGCCCTTGGGCCTTCACACAGGTGAGATACTTCGGATTTTATAAGTCAGCCTTGATTTTGGTTGCAAAATGAGACACAGGCCCCCCAGAGATGATAGTCTCCGCGGAGCTGCAGGGACCACTGGGGATAGGCCTCGAGATTGCTGTGTTGCAGAGCTCCAGATATTCTGACACTTTCCCGCAAGTCATTCTCCTCCCAGCGCATCCCAGATACCAACACAGGTCCCTGGAGGAGAAGTTAAAGGTTTAGAAATGGCCTAATTTCCTAATTTATGAAAACTTTTAGCCAACCCTCTACCTTCTGTTCATTCGGTTGTTCACTTATTCAGTGAATAATTGTTGAGGACGTAGCTACCATCTGCCAGGCCCCATGCTAAGTTCTGGGGGAGGGCTCCTGCCTTCATGAAAACTACAGCCTAGCAAGGGAGCAGACAGTAAATAAACAAGTAAACAAAGCAACAGGGTAATTACAGATTGTTGTAAGTCCCATGAAGGGAATACACAGGATAAATGAGATCATAATTGGGAGGGGCCCCTCTGCAGAGGGGACATTTGAGCTGAGACCTCGAGAGAAGGAGTGGCCATGGGAAGAGCTGGAGGAAGGGCCGTCCAGGCAAAGGGCATACAGGGACCCAGGGGTGGAAGGCCTTGGAGCATCAGGGAGAGAAGGCGTGGCGAGAGCAGCGAGGAGAATGATTCAGGAGGAGTTCACAGGAGGCACGAGCTAGGGTGTTAGAGCCTTGGAGGCCATGGTCGGAGTTTAGGTTTCATTCTGAGAGTGATGGGGAGCCGCTGACAGTGTTAAGCAAGAGTGGTAATCTAATTAAAGATCACTGTGTGCTCACTGCCACGTTGTTTGTAGTAGCAGATAAGAAACGAATTCCATGAATACGGAGTCAGGTACGTACATGTGGGTTCATCCCAGTGGTCTGCAGCAGTTAAAAACCGTGAGGCATGTCTGTATGTACTGCCAGAGAAGGATTCGCAAGATACCCTTGGTAGGAGAAAAAAAAAAAAAACACAAGAAATAGGATACAGCATAAAATATGCTGCCACTATATTTTAAAAAGTGCTATAGATGTATATGGGCTTGCCCGTGTATAAAATCCCACATTAAGAATACACAAGGAGCTGGTTATGGGTTGCTTCTGGGGAGGGGAACTGAGGCACAGGGTGACCAGGATGGAAGGGAGACCTACCCTTCATAGTGTATCCTTTTGTATGTTCGAATATATTAGTATGCCTGTGTTACATATTCAGCAAAAAAAGGTCCCATGTCTAAATTGTGGTCACCGTGTTTGCTATGTGGAGAGAGGCTGTTGAGAGATGGTGGTGGCTTGACCATGGGTAATGGGGTTGGAGACAGGAAGGTGGATTCAGGATCTATGTCAGAGGCAGGACCAGCTGGACTCAGTGTATCTCACGCTGACTTGCCCCGCTCCCACAAGTTCAGGAAAGCTTCATGCATTTGAGATTGCAACTGGGCTTACCCGACTCTCCTGTGACTTCTCTGACGTCTTTGTGGACTGAAGGATTCTTGGGCTCCTTCCAGGTGCAAAAAGCCTTGGAACTTGAGAGACTGTCTAATGCATCACAATATGGAGGACACGGTTACAGACATGCCCTTTTCATATCCTCATCCAACTTCTAGACGATTTTTTTTAAGTAACCTCTAGGCCCAATGTGGGGCTTGAACACATGACCCTGAGGTCAAGAGTCTCATGCTCTACCGACTGAGCCGGCCAGGCGCCCCTGAATGGTTTTTAATGACAATCAAAACGAAGTTACACTGAAGAAGCCCTGTCGTTTCTCCATGGAGCTTGCTTTCTTTGCAGAGAGATGCCAAGGGCCAGTACCTGTTTGACCTTCTTTGCCACCACCTGAACCTTCTTGAGAAAGACTACTTTGGGATCCGCTTTGTGGACCCAGACAAGCAGCGGGTAAGTCAATATTTGAAGCGCAAATATTCACTGACCTCCTGAGGGCTGGTCAGTAGCCTGGGTCCTTGGACTGCCACTCATCCTCAGGGATGAGTGGCCCCCCAGGCCCCGCATTTGGGCGTCACCTCTTCAGATCACGTAGCCACCTTGGCAGAGCTCAGCGAGTGTGGCCCGCCGTTCGCAGATGCTGAGATTGGCAGCCTAGAGGGCTGACGTGATCTGCCCAAAGCTGCCCGGTTGGCAGCAGGGCAGCGGGGCTGGTGTTACTGTCTTCGAGCACAGGTCACAGGCTGAGCCTCTCCTGCCCGCTCTCTAGTGACTGAGCTGAGCCACACAGTTCCGGCTCGGAAGGGCCCCACCTTCCACCGGTTTGCGCAGGACAGAGATCGAGCCGAACTGACATGGGCCCCTGAGCACCTTGCAAATGCTTCGGTTCTCGTTCTGCTCCACAGACAGGGGGCTCATTCCGGACGGAGATGAGAACAGGTCCGTCACCCCCAGGCCCCAGCCTCCCCTGACCTGTCTCCTCCCTGCTGTGGCTCTCCAGATGCCATCCTTCTCTCTTCCCATAGCCTCCGCCTGTACAGCCCCGCTGCCCAGAACATCTCTTCCCCCTTTCCTCCCCTCTCCGCACTCCACGCTTTGCTTCTGGCTGACTCCTTCTCACGTGTAATATGTCAGCTTGGACCTGCACTTCTTCCAGGGATTCTTCCCCCACCCCCACTGTGAACGAGGGGTCCCTCCTGTGTGCCCCACAGGCCCTGTGCTACCCCTCTTGTAGCACTTTCTACGCCATGCTATGGTTGCCTGTTGGATTACCTGTGTTCCGGGCAAAAATGGAAGTTCCATGAGTGCATGCACTTTCTCTCATTCAGCACTACATCCCATAGAACGAGCACAGGGCCTAGAATGTAGTGGACGTTCAGTAAATATTTGTTGAAGGAGTGATGAGTGGGTGAGTTCATGGTGTATGATGCCAAAAATTTCCCCCTCCACTTGCCCAGCTGCTCCACTAGCAGACATCTGCACTTCCTAGAACTTCTTTTCATCAGCCCTTTCCTTTCTGTGGGGATGTATTCTCTGGTGCCCCCACTGAAGTGGGAAAACATGCAGAAGCATTCGGGCCTGTGTCTCCCTTCCCTATACCCCTGCCCACCCCCCACTCTGGTCTACCATCCTCCAAAGATATTATCAGCACAAATCCCAGAGGGTCCCCCTTCCATGGGTTCACTGATTTTCTTCACAGCTCCAAACATGGGTTCCATCTCTGTTGTCACTGGGGGCCTCAGAGCCCCCGAAGGCACAGTCCCCTAGCAATGCCCAGGACCACAGGTAATGAGTGAATGGATACACCCCTCAGCATGCCAGAGTCAAGTGCTGTTTTGTTCTTTGATGCTCTGAGCCACTGTGTCTCCAGGTCACATTCAGAGTTTTCTGCTGAACACTTTAGCTTAAAGAAAGAATCCATAGGACTGTTTCCCTTTCTTTTGAAAAGCCCTGCCCCCTTCACTGACATATTCTGGTCCTCTTGGCTCAGCAGAATTTTGAGCATCACCACTGTTTAGGAAGTAAGGTCAGCCCCTTGCCCTATGAAGTCTCCACAGTCTTGACGTAAATACTGTCCTTAGCTCTAGAACCTCGAAAGGGCCATGATACCAGGAAGCTACATGTCCTCACATGCTGTAGGTGTCCATTCACTATAAAATGATGGACTGTTTTTACCAGGGGGTTTCTTGTTGTTTATTTTTTTGGTCTGAGCTGTTTTCTTCTTAAGAGGGAAGGCAGGTTACCCCAAGGTCTCTTCATCTCCTGAAGAGAGTGGCTTATGAAGAAAAAGAAACAAAACATATCCTCATTATTTTCTAGTTAGGTCAAAATGTGCTTAAGAAGAATAAGAGAGTACATGGAGGGGATAAAGATCAAAAGCAGGAGGAGACAGAGAAATATAAAGAAATGGAGAAACGGGGAAATAAACCTGTATGGAGCGGCTACTGTGTGCTGGGCTCTGCACTGAGCACAAACCCAGGCCTTTCAGCCCATGTATGTTGAGCCCTGAGTTCTATCAGGCATGAAGCTAAGAGCTTCCCACATGTTCTTTAATCCTTATGCAAATGAGCCGAGTATCCACAAGTCAAATAGCCATTCTCTGGCTGAGGAAACAAAATGTCAGGTTAAGGAGTGACTTGCCCAAGGCATACAGCACTGCCAGACTCCAGCTCGGAGCTGTCTGATGCCAGGCTCTGTATGGGTTCCAAGGTTCCAGCTGAATCCACACCTGACAGTTTCTGAAGTTCTGTGACTGTGCTGAGGGGTTAAGGAGAGCAGAGAGGCTTGGAAAGGTGCTTGAGAGTTGTGGGGAAATTGTCACCCTAGATCGGGTGACTCGTGGTAGAGAATGGAGGGGGTAAGCTCCCCGCTCCCTTAGGTTGTGAGGTCCTAAAATAAACCTCCTCCCCTGGGGCACCAGAACCCAAGCTCACAGCCACCCCCTCACTGCCTGCACAGGTGCCCGTGGGCTCTGGGAACGCTCCTGGTCCCTCCTGGGGGACCCACAGGGGGGAACCTGTTGCTGGCTCAGGTCCAGGGCCTCAGCCTGCTCTCAGACTCTCCTTTCAGACTGGAGGCACCCTTACCAGCCACCAGAGCCTCCAGATCGTGCCACATTGGCCCAACGACCCAGATATGGGTGGAAACTGTCCTCTCTGAACCTTCTTTTCTCTTCTCCTGACCCTTCCTCCCCAGTCTCCTGTTATCAGTTTGCTAGTGATTGTGGGACCCAGATTTAGCCAGACCGCTGCAAAGGGTAACTCTGGCCATCACTCCCTTTTGGGGATCCTGAGTTCTCTTGATTTCTCTACCAGACCCTTAAAATCTCCTGGACAAGCTGTTACGGCTTTCACCTCCCCCACCCCACCCGGCGCTGTCTCCAACAGCCTTTCACTACAGTGCAGACTGAAGTCCTCTTCAGCCCTGGCCGAGGGGAATAGGCTTTTTGTCATTCAGCTCCACCTGCCTTCTGCTGAGAACGCATCTCACGGTCTTCCCTTGTAGTTTCCATCTTCCATTGTTTATTTATTTTAATCTATCCCTCAGATGCCTGGGGGCATTCTGAGCCCCAGACACTCGCTGTGTTCTCCTAGCTGGACACAATTCCGACGTGCTCCAATCAGACGGGCCTCCTCCGCCTTCACAGGCTCAGCCTCGAACCCCACTTGTTCCTGTGCAATTTCATCTCTTGCCTTTGCTTCCCCATGAAGCCAAGCCGCGGTGGGCCGTGTAATGTGAGAAGGACCTCTTAACCACGTTGAGTGGCTATAATGAGTTGCCAGCCTCGTGGGAACTCAGATCAGAGGAAGCAAGAGAGCAGAATGTCAGCCCAGATTATCCATGTGGAGCTGACGGAGGAACTGGCTCTTAGTGGGTCCATTAACTGTGTGACCCACAGCCCAGCCCAGAAGGTGAGAGCTAGGAACCGCGGGAGGCCAGGATGCTGTCTGCACGGCCCTGGCTGCTTTCCTGCCAGAGGGAAGGTTCTGCCAAGATGTTGCTCTAAATGGAAGTAGCCAGAAAAGAGGGAGATGTGGACCCAGCATGGACCCACTTCCTTCGTCCGTTTGGTAGCTGTATCTTGAACACTCTTCAGGGCACCGGCGGCTGACAGTTTTCTGCCTTCACAGAGCTAATGGTTTCAGTCTACTTCCAGATAATCAAATCCCAAGTAACAGCCGTTGTAGCTTTCTGCAAACTGTCAAATTTATTGATTAGCATAAAAGCAACAAACATCAATAATGCATTTTATAAAGCATTCATGTAGAACTGGGAAACAGTTATAGAATGATCTCATTGCTTCCTTCCCGCAAACATAAGTACCATGGGGGAAAAAAAATGTATTGCTACTATATCCTGCCTCTACGAAAATCCAAGGGAAAAACGATACGATCCTACACATTAGTTGTGGTTAGTTATCTTATGAGACTGAGACTTTAAACATCCCTGGATGCCAAGGAATCTGAGTATGTATGCCCTAACACAAGGGTTGGCAATATGCTACTCAAACAAAGATGGAGGATGCACCAGCCATCCCTGCCTTCTCACCATTGATGAAATTCCACCTGTTAATACTTTCTAGAGCCACGACCAATCGCCTCTGTCCCCACTGCCCACCCCTGCCAAAAAAAAAAAAAATAGCTGGCATATAACACAAACACACACAATCCACTAATGTCAGCGTCTCCCTGCTCAAGACAGGCGGGGCTTTGTCCCCATTACACATACGTGCATTCGCTTGTGCCTAACGGTATGCCAGAAATACGGCTCAGAACCCTGGCACCCTACTTTGGAAGGCAGCATTGCCAGGGAAGCCCAGAAATGGCATCTGAAGCTGGAACTTTTCCCCCTTCACAGCTGGTTCCATGGGGAGCTTACTTCCAAAACTCCTATCACTCTCTGCTCTCCAAGCCTACATATCACAAGCTTTGGGCTGCTTTCACCCTGGGCTACAATCTGTCCAGTTATTTAAATTGGGTAAAACAAGTTAGAGTTGACACTGCTTCTCATTCGGGTTTTCTTGTTCTGTGTTCTCTGTTTCAGCATTGGTTGGAGTTTACAAAGTCTGTGGTGAAGCAATTGAGATGTAAGTATTCTTCATGAAAAGGTGGGGAGCCTCACCCCTGGGGAGGGTGGGATGAAACCTCCCGCATTTAGTAAGTCTTGGTCATTGCCCACCGTTCCTGTATAAGTTTGCCCTATACCTGTGAGGACTTTCTGATGATGCATCCCAGTGGGGAGGGAAGCCCGGTCATCCTCTGGGAAGGGTCTTTCCTGAGATGGGCACATCTCTGTCTCTGCAGCCCAGCCTCCATTCACCATGTGTTTCCGCGTGAAGTTTTACCCCGCAGATCCTGCTGCCCTGAAAGAAGAGATAACCAGGTAAGGCTGAACTTACCTCAGCCACTGAGACTTGTTGGAGAGGAAAGAGGGACTAGAGCCTCTCCGATCCTCTATTTTGGAAGCTTCTCACTCTTATAAGGAAGGAATCTTCCTAAATATAACCTTACTTCTTCTGTATTTCATTTCCACATGCTTTCTTTGCTCACCCCCTCAATGGAACTGGAACAGAGTGAGCTGCTTTCCTTCGAGAAGTGTGAATACTTCACGTAAACTAGCCATCTATAAGGAGACCTGGAGTCATTACTTAATCAAAAGCATTTTTTTCTTTTACCAAGGCTGTGGCCACCATGGATGTTTTTGGAGAGGGTGGGTTGCTTTTGTTGGGGGAGGGGGATGTTGCTTGAAATAGACTCCAGTGTCCTAACGTCCTCGGGAAATGCCAAAGCAGGACACTGCAAAATAAGCCGGGAAACACTGAAGATTTTAAATCCAAGTGGATAAACTCCAGTGTGCTGACGGATCTGGCCCGTGATGAATGCTTCCTTGTGGGGACCGTGTTCTGTGGCAGGCACACAGCTGCACGGAATGAATCCTATCTCATCCAGCACCACGTGAGGATGAGAAGGAACTTCTGTGCCCACATCATCCTACAAGAGGGTCAAAGAATAGGCGCTTCAAAGCTTCACCAGGGTTTTGTATATATGAGCCAAATTCACTCTGAAAGTCTTGCCTCAGAGACTCAGCAATGCTCTGTACCAGGCATCCTTAATTTTTATATTAGAAATATCTAATTTGGACATGAGCAGAAGGTTGGTGTTATCTCTGAGAGGGCGGGGCCCTAGAGCAAGAGATGATGCCAGGGAACCCTAGAGCTGAGGAAGAGAGAGAGAGCTCTGCCGGCTCTCCGCCTCCCCCAAAAACCCTGGAGACCGCAGAGACCGGGATGAGGCCGTGGCCAGTTATAGAGACTCTGTCCTGTAAGTCTTTGCCATCTACTTCCAGATCCTGAACTGCTTGGGAGAATTCCAAAGAAAGGAAAGAGGAGGGAAGAAGGGAGGAAGAAGGAATATGGACTTACATTCACTTCCTGTTCCGAAGAGCGTGGCACTAGCTTTATGTCAGATAAAAGGAGCTAAAGTTTTTCTGAGAAGGAAAACGAGGAAATGGGGAGAGTAAGAGGGCAGGAAACAGGGCTAAGTAGTGCAAAGGAAGCAAAGAAGTGGGACAGAGAGGAGAAGTGGCTTCTCACGTGGGTCCCAGTGGAGGCTGGGGGGGATCTTGCAGTGCAGTCGGGAGGATGAGGAAGGTTGTTTCTTCGGGATGCTCAGGGCGGTCTACATGCACCAACTTTGAAGCACTGAGGCCAGGGAGGGCATTCATGCTCCTTACCGGGCATGGGAATGGCAGGTTCTGTTCATCCACACGGAAGTGGATGTGGCTCCCACTTTGCTCATCCAAGTACAGGAGCAATCCTGTAGTTTTAGGAGCACGAGCCCGCCCTGCTCAGGACCTTCAGAGCATTTGCCTCACTCTGAACCTGTCCCTCTCCCCGCAACCTGCTTCCCTGCCAAAAGAGGTGGTGATACCAAGGCAGACCCAGAAGGCCACACTCCTGTCCACGTGTCTGGGCAAACTTAACACCTCTTTCTTGAGAACCTGGCACCTTGCCTCCTAACACCACACCTCAGGATCTCCTGGTCTCCACCTCACGCAACCAACAGTGAGGATGACAGGGATGATTCTAACAACTCAGTGAGCGGCCAGTGAGAGCACGGCAGACACATGGCTTTCTGATTTGATTAGAGGGCAAAAATATATGGTTATCTTGGCCCTTTGGAGCTCTTAACAATACAATTTTCTAAATCAAATGTTCCTCCATAATACTAATGGACAGACTATCCTACTCAAAAAGCAGCATAGACCTGGAAACTCAGATCCTATTTCTGTCACTTCTCAGCTTGGGCCTTGGACCCAAGATATTTAACCTGTCTGACCTTCAGATCCCTTATTTATAAAATGAGGAAGAGTAACAGCTCCCTCATGGAATTGTTGGGAGAACTGACCCCTACACTAGGGTCTTGTACTTCGTGATACACTCCGCACCCCCCCCACCCCGGCAAGCCTTTCCCTGAGCAGAGGCTGCCAGATGGATTACGTGGTCCATGGACCCCCGAGGGCTCCGCACAGGGCACAGGTACAGTTAGCTGTGGCTTCTCTCCTTTGTTGAGGTTAAAGGCGCTTCTTTTCTGAGACTCCCCACTCCTCCTCGGTCCTTTTCCCCGACCAGCTAGAATCCTACCACTTAAGCAGCTAGTTTTTGAGGACTCAGAGAAAAAGCCATCCCAGGTGACCAGTCATCCAAGTCCTGGTGGCACAGCATGAGGGCCATGGCCAGGCCTCTCTCCAGGTCAGCAGGCTTCAAAGGCACTGACAAGGGTGTGAGCTTCTCCCCCTTCCGCGCACATCTGTGCTGAGCATCCTCGACTGTTCTCCCCTTGCTCTCCACCTCACCAGCCTGCCTTCCCTAGAATGCATTTTCCAAGCGTTGTTGGGAGTGTGAAGCACAGGGTGCCTGGGCCTGATATGGAGTCTTCGTGCCTCCCCCTCTGAGGTATTCTGTGAAGGCCTTGGAATTAGCCGAGTCTTTCTCCTCATTCACGTCCCTACTGATCTTGAGAGAGTGGGTACCTGCCCCAGCCTCACTCAATACCTGTAATTCATTCCTGGCTTAGAGCCCTCCATGCCACCTTCCTGCCAAACTAATTTAGCTGTCAGTGTGTTTTTTCCTAGAAATATTGGTCCTAAATCCCAATGCCGTCTCAGCTATTCCCATAAAGCCAGGCTGAGAGGAGGGGATGAAATAGGGAGTAAAGAACTGTGCTTCAATTTATCTCTTGGACTCTTCCCAGATGATAAATTTAGTTGCCAAATCCTGATTAATCTCTTTTGTCATTTTTTAAAGTAATAAATAGATTTTCTTGTCTGAGCTAGAGACAAGGCAGAGAAAACGGGGATTAGGCACCAGATTTAGCGTTTAACAGGGACCGCAGGTGTATGAACTCTGTGGCAAGGTTAAATAGTAGAAGCAAACTGAGTGCAAATGGCGCCTCCTTCTAAGGAAACAAACTGCCTGACACGTTTGAGTGGGGGCGCTCACAAAAAGTATTAATCGAATGACGGGATATATTCGAGAATGAATGGAGTTTATAGGTCATAAATTCCTTCGATGAACACCACTTGAGCCTACCTTAGGCTAAGATGGCCTGAGAAGCGTTTTCTATAAAAGGCCAGAGAGTAAGTATTTTAGACTTTGTGCACCATATGGTCTCTGTCACAACTACTCAGTTCTGCCTTTGCAGTGCGAACGCAGCCAGAGACGATACCTAAATGAATGAGAATGGCTGCATTCCAATAAAATGTTGTATTTCACTGGAAACTTTGGTGGCAGGTCATAGTTTGCCGACCCCAGACTAATGCATCGAAGAGAACTGGGTTCAAATTCCAGGTTGTCCTTTAACTAGCTGTGAGACAAGGCAAGCAACAGTCTCTCCAATCAGTCATGTCCTCATCCATGAAGCAGGAAGGAAAAGCAGTAGCCACCTCCCAGAGTCGTCATGAGGACTGCATGTGAGGGTGCGCATTAACCTGTATAGTGTGGGGGCGCCTGGCTGGCTCAGTCAGCGTGGCGTGTGACTCTTGATCTCAGGGTCGTGAGTCTGAACCCCACATTGGGCGTGGAGCCTAGTTAAAACCAACCAACCAGCAAACAACAGTACAGTGGGTGGCTCACAACATGCATTCAGTAAATTATTATTTTGTTTTGTTACTGTTTTGTCGTCTGTCTCTCCCCACTGGAATGTAAGCTCCATAAGAGTGGGGATTCTGTTTTGTTCCCTTCCGTATTCCCAGCACTCGTGGTAGTGCTTGGCACATGTAAGTGCTCAGAACTGGATGGATGGATGGATGGATGGATGGATGGATGGATGGATGGATGATGGGTGGGAGGAAGGGTGAGTAAGTGAGCTAGGCACAAGATGTACAGGCTCCCTAGAATATTAAAGGTAAATTTAAAAAAAAAAAGCATCTCTGACTGCAAGGAGATGATTATAGGATTATAGAGGAAGCCAGGGACAAAGAATCTGATGAAGGAAAGTCAGGGCCAAAGTGAGAACTCTTTGGAGAAGCTCTTCAGGAGATGCCAGTTCTCTCCAGAGGTCAGAACCTTTAATTCTGGAGCCATCTGTAGATTCATCTCCACCCTCTGATCCCAGAAAACACAGTGCCAGAGTCAATACCTTGGAGAGATGTACATGTCACAGAAAGACAGGTTTTCCTTGGCTGTCTTTTTAGGTTTTCACTTACTCTGCCTTTGGATAGTCCCAATTTGCACTTCCATTAATTTAGGACAACACTGGCATTAAAGCAAAAATGGAGATGAGGCCAGAAAGAGATTGGCGAAGTTTACTCAAGAAGTGTCCTAAGGAATAAGCTTGTTGTCTTAATTCTGGTCTGATTTGTTTGATTCTAATGAGAATTTCTCTTCGATGACAGAGCTCTCTTGACTTCCTTTAGGACCCCTCTCTCTAATAACTAACTGAATTACCAGGGAGGTAGAAAAAGCATCAGGCCCTGAGCCAGGAGGACTTCCTTGATTCTGATCACTGTATCACCTCAGACAAGTCGCTCTACATGTTTGGCCTTCTATTTCCTCACGTATGAGAGAATTAGGCTCTTTAACTCCTATTCTGAGGTTCTGAGATGGGGTAACCCAACTAGCCTGCTCATCAGGAGTCGGCTAGGCTGGGTGGCCCCAGCAGGCTGATCTCTTACCTTGTAACAAAGTGGCCCAAGTAGCGGTGTCTCAGGCAACAAGATAGTCTTCCTTAGGCCCATGTGTGGCAGGGGAGAATATGCCATGTTCTCTTGAGAAGAGGTCTAGGGATGCTATGAGTCATGTGGGGCATATTCTCATGTCCAACAACAGCGACTCATTAGTTACCACCTTCAATGAACAAAACATGAAGCTTGTTTTGTCGTCTGTCTCTCCCCACTGGAATGTAAGCTCCATAAGAGTGGGGATTCTGTTTTGTTCCCTTCTGTATTCCCAGCACCTTCAATGAACAAAACATGTATGGTTTTAAAAAAAAGTGGGGGGGGGATGATAGTACCTATTTCAAAGTATTAGGTGAGAATTAGATGAGATAGTGCATGTAAAGTGCATAAGACCTGGACTGGCAGATAGGAAGCGCTCACTACATATCAGCTACTGTTAGCTGTTACTCTTGCCGTCCTGCTTCCATCTGAGGTGAGAGCTTTCTCTGTTTGAAGAAACACCAGCCACAAGTTGCTGTGCTTCCTTCACTGGTGCCCCTTCTTACAGCTTATTCAGATCCTGAAAGGTCCAGCTGAGCTCTGCCAATAATCAAAGGCTGTTCCACACACGGGCAGGTTGTCTTGTAAGCCGAGGAGGAACTCGGCCTTGGGCTGGTTCCCTCACCCGCTGTTCCGCTTCTTAGGAAGAAACACCGGCCAGAATCCACGGCAGAGAGGGGCCCAGTTGGCCCCTCTCTGCTGACGCAGGTTTCTTTCTCAACACCGAATGGGCCGGGGCTGGCTCCTTCCAAAAGCCAGCACTGGAGTGGGGCACAGTGCTTTTGCCAGGAAGCACCAATTCTGTTTTGAGCTACTGAAGGAAACTGACAGGTTGTTTTGAATTGAACCCCAAATCAGTTTGGGGCAAAGTACTTGTAAGTCTTCAGGAAAATGGAAAATCCATTTGTTCTGTGGTACATTTTAAGTTTGTTTTAATGTAGTAAAAAAGTGCCCTGACGAGAATTTTGATAGGCTTATATTCTATCCTTATGTCTTTAAAGCCATCAGAGAAATCCTTTCTAGTTCCCGCCTCTGTTTTCTCTCCAGGTACTTAGTCTTCCTACAGATCAAAAGGGATCTCTACCATGGCCGCCTCCTCTGTAAAACATCAGATGCTGCCTTGTTAGCAGCTTACATCCTTCAAGGTAATGACTTTTGACAAGATGAATTTGCTTTTCATGCTAAATACTGATTATATTATTTCAGTTACCACAGATGACTACTTCTTGGGTTTAAACAGTATCTAACTTGAAGCAGAGTCTGAATGGGAGGGCTTTGCCTAGACTCCCTAGGTCCAGAAAGCTCCAACCACTCAACCCTACACTGTGCCTAAGGTCTTTCTGCCAGTGCCTTCAGATCATTGTGACTCTCTCTGGGGTTTCCTCTACCCTTGGTTGATAGAGTTACTGAGACTCTGGAGAGTCATCTGAAACAATTTTTTCCTAGCCTTTCATGCAAATCTCAAAGGTATGAAGTATCTTGGAATTCTGGTGTCCCTTTCGGAGATCTTTCCATTCAGAGTGGTCAAAGTTGGAATGCTTACAAGTAACAGACACATTTCCTAGCATCCATCCTAATAAGGCAGGGTTGACTCTGTATCCAGCTGATGCCGACTGGCTTTTTTTTTTTTTTTTATGCAAAACAGCGGGAAAGGTATGCACTCTTCATGTATGTGATGCCTTCTCCTTCCATGAAGTGCAGGGGCTCCTAAGTGCCACTTCCAAGATTTCTCTTAGTCCTTAGGCCTGAAACTGTCACCAGACTGTTCGAGACCACAGCACTAAAATCACAGTTTCCATCAAAGAATCTGAACTCTTAATTGGAAATCTGTGAACTCCAGGAAGCTACTTTGTGAAGAGAACCTGAAAAATGCTTGCCAATAAGAAACTACAGTTCTTCTGCTAAGAGAAATATCATAGCTGCAGTAAGAATGTGCAAGTCCACACATTGCAACTTTGACTTCTGAGACTCCTGTTTTTAAAAAGCAAGTCTAGAAGGTGCCTGCCAACTCTAAGGTACCCAAAGAGGCCCCCTTCATTTTTAAAGGAGAACTTGGTCCTAAGTGAGATTTTAAATTCCAGTCTTTCTATCAGATTTACCCTGACAACCATATTGAATTTTTCTCTCTTTTTTTTTTTCTTTTGAAGAAATAATTGACATCCAATACTGATGTTTTCCACTTGGAGCTTCCTAAATAAAATCATAATAAATGACTTCATGGCTCAAAGTCACTCTGGACTATAGGCCCAGGAAAGCTTTTAGTCTCTTACTAAACGATAGAAATTCCCAAGTAATCTGGAGGACACAATGAATAGATTTGCGCACAAGTACAATATTCAGCTGTGAGGAGGGCACATTTTCCTCTTAATATTTACTCCTCCCTCAAGATTTCCCTGGGCCCTGGTTGTGGCTCTCACTAAGGAAGGAGAAAAGACAACCCCAAAGCAGCTGACACTTTTTAACATACTTCCTCCTAACATATGCATGATGTTCCCTGTGCAGCACATCCTGTGCGGAGGGCTGGGGTGTGACTTGCTTTGCGGAGCGCACCCTCCGCCGAGCACACTCTCCGCAGAGCGCACTGATCAGAGATCCCAGCAGCTTTAGGGATGGCCTCTTGCTCTCTAAATGGGTGGAGGAGAAAGCCCCGCCCCGGGCAGAAAACTAGGAAATCAGCCTTAGGACCTGGTGCTCCTGAACTCAGTGGCCAGTTTTAACCAGTCTTCCCACTCTCCAAGAGGGGCCTGACACCTGGCCAGCCCTCAGTGAATATTTACTCAAATTACATTCACTTGATTTGATTTGATTTGATTTCGACTGAGAGTTAAGCGCTAAGTTTGGGTCATGGCTCCTTCATCAGTGTGGCCCTGCTAAAATCCTCAGAACTTAGATCTGGCTCAGGCCCAAGAGACTCTATCTTCCTGGTCAAGCTGTTTCCTGTGCTGCCACAAAGAGCATTGATCCCAGTCCCTTTTCTCAAGACTGACTGGATAAAGACCGTGATACAGCCTTCTGCTCTTATATTGGGTATTTACTTGTGGTGACCACAGAACACAGGCTTGGCTCTAGTGTCTCTGCTTAGGCTTGATACCAACCCAGAGTGCACACCTGGAAAAACAAAGGTAGGCATGCTTCTGAGGGGCTTGCCCTCTGCCTGATCCACAGCTGTGCTCAAGATCCATTGTTCTTTATAAATTTGGTGTGTGCTTTGGCTTTTGCTCTGTGTGTTGATTTCTTGTTGCTTTACCAGTGATGATTTACCTGTCTCCACAACTGTTTTACTCTGCTTTCCTTTTGCAAGCGGAGATTGGGGATTATGACCCAGGGAAACACCCTGAAGGCTACAGCTCCAAGTTCCAGTTTTTCCCAAAACATTCAGAGAAGCTGGAAAGGAAAATTGCTGAGATTCACAAGACAGAACTCAGGTACGTGACACTCATTCAGGCTCAGGACACTCTGTCCCCCAAAGCCTGAACACACAAGTCCTGCGCTGCATCCTCTGCTCCCGCAGACCCAGTCCTCCTAACTCTGGGATGTGCCATTTTCAGTACTCCACTGACAGCACAACCCCAAGCCCTGTAGTGTAGGCTGAGGCTTGAGGGCAGTGTAAGGAAAACAGAGAGGGATGGCCTCTGAAAGGTATCTGCTTCACTAAGATAAATGGAGAGAGAGAGGGAAGCATGGACTAGGAAAAAGGAAAACATAAAAGAAACAACAGAAGAGAAAATAGATGAGCGGAGGCCTGTGAAAAATGGGCAAGCCCCTACCTTCAGGCTGTGGCAGGCTGACAGGTGGCTTCCGAGTCAGTGGATGGGACTGCACAGGGCTGGCCTGGGTCATAAACGCTGGGGGTGCCCTGAGAGCATGTGGTTTAGGGGCTATGTCTCCAGTACTGCCTTGCTCAACCCACAGCCCTACACAGAGGGAAGGAGGGGAGAAGCAGCTGGAAGCAGGAAGCTTGTCTTCCTCAGATTCTTAGTTTGCCCAGAATATGCCAAATTCCATAAAATAGCATTAATGTATCCTTTCACCCATATATATAGGGTTTTCTACAAAGATTGATTAAAACAACAACAACAACAATAGAGCCTGGGTGGCTCAGTCGGATAAGTGTTCCACTCTTGGTTTCAGCTCAGGTCATGATCTCAGGGTCACGAGATCAAGCCCCGTATTAAAATGGGCTCCACCCTCAGCGGGGAGTCTGCTTCTCTCCCCCTCTCCCTCTGCCCCTCCCCCCTCACAAGGCTCTCTCTCTAAAATAAATCCTTAAAAAATATATATATATATAT